TGTTTTATGAATAAACACGATGTTTTGGAAATATTTATCAAAAGAAATTTATACTATGTTGCGAATTACAATTTCGAGATAACCTTCTTTTATTTACGAACTTATGTCTTTGATGCTGAAATTGACAACTTTATAAAAATACATTTTCACTGAAATTATGAAATCTGGGTGTCGGAAAGGTGTAAAATTATTCTTCGGAAAAGAAAAAAACAGTAGTTGAGCTAGATAAGAAATTATACGGGGGCAGGCTCCTATGGAGAATTAACATTACTGGAAACAGGCCCTTTATAAGTTAAGGGGCTTCACGCACCACTCCTACAGTTTCAAAAGCATTTTTGTTATCTATTTGGATTCGTAACTTTTTGGCCCCTAGGATCTCGGATGATTCCTGGAAGGGAGGCACAGCTGTATGATGACGTGCTATTTAGCATGCTGTCTCTATTACCAAAGGTACAATTACATCTCCGTGTGTAAGTGTGACGTCCATCGTTCATGGTACTATAGTTTTACGCCAATGATAATGCTGATAAAGTATACACAATCAGTCGACCTAAACGTTACAGAAACATAGAAACGACAATATACAATGACTGGGCACTTTTTAAGAATTTCCGTAGCTCAGTTGCGTTTGCTAAGATATTTTCCTATACCTGTCTAAACACGACACCCTCCTGCATCAGGGAAATTGGAAACACACAATGTAAACAAACGTAACACAAGGGGAAGAATAATAACAGTAAACACAACCGTACCACAAGGGGAATAATAATAACAGTAAACATACGTAACACAAGGGGAAGAATAATAACAGTAAACATACGTAACACAAGGGGAAGAATAATAACAGTAAACACAACCGTACCACAGGAGCATGAGGATTTAACAAGCTGTACCGTTCAGTCACAGGGACAGACGATCCTCCCGTACCACAGGGACAGACGTCTGTCCCTGTGGTGCGAGAGGATCGTTTGTCCCTGTGGTACGAGAGGATCGTCGGTCCCTGTGGTGCGGGATGATCGTCTGGCCCTGTTGTACGCGAGGACCGTCTGTCCCTGTGGGACGGGACAGAAGATCCTCCCGTACCACCGGGACAGACGATCCTCACGGAAAACAGGGACAGACGATAATCCCTTACCACAGGGACAGACGATCCTCCCGTACCACAGGGACAGAAGATCCTCTCGTACCACAGGGACAGATGATCCTCTCGTACCACAGGGACAGACGATCCTCCCGTACCACAGGGACATGTGAGCTAAAAACAATACACCTATCCGAACCACAAGCGCATGATAATTAGCACACTATACTCTCCTTTACCAAAGGGGCTTGGGAAAGAACACATAGGACCAATCCGTACCACAGGGACACGTAAATTCAAGTTTCACTTTTATTTGAACTTCAGGCCATTGACCCATTAGTATACAATACATATTATACACAAATCGTGGACAATGTACAGAGAATGAAGACACTCATATTCCATGTACCCCTAATTAACACACCATAAATTAACACACTATACCCTCTCGTACAACAGGGATTTGATAAACAACAAACTACACCAACCCGTACTACAGAGGCGTGAGAATTAAAACACCACAACCACCCGTAAAACAGGGACATGACAATGAAGACACGGTATGCATATTAAGACGTTCCCGGTGTTAATTATTTTTGTTAGGCGGTGAACTTAACTCCAGAACAAACGTTTAACAACAATGCATATCAGAAGATATGTTAATACAATTAAAAATACTGTAAATCGTAAATATCATGTCCCTGTGCTCTATACTATCGTCTCATTCCTGTTCCATATCTACTTCTCCTACAACATCCCAATATAGATACCTACGCTGTTATCACTAGCCTTACCTGTGTTCCTGGTTAAGCGGCCATGATCAATCAACATACTGTTCTTGACGTTTCTCAGAATAGGCCGGCAGTGTTAGTTCTTAGAACACCCAATGTTCTCTGAATGTGCCATTGTGCGTTTTCAAAAATGAAAAAAATATCTTAGGGACTCAAAGTTAATACACGTGGGTTTTTACATATTTTGATTATCAATATTTGCAATGTTTGATACTGACCAAACGACGGGAGCTAACAAGGACATATTGTTATCTGACTGGCAGATCCCTATTAAACCATGTATATGGGTTATTGCTGCTGATTACTGAATAAAGAAATTAGGCAAACCTCCTTTTAAGATGGGACCTGTAGTCCCAATATGAACCTTATTACACAAGCTTGAATCGACACCCAGTCGATATAACGTTAGTTGGTTGTCGTATGGTTTTCTTATGACGGACAACATAAACCAAATTGAATATAATCGTACAAACATGTAATCACTACCTCGCATCACACAATACATACAAATTAAATGGTGCACGCGAGGATTATGATGTGCACGTGACTGTTTATTGTTTGCACTGGCAGCTATACGCCTGAATGCATACGGTCTGGAATTCCGATTTTTCTTTAATCACTAACAGGGAATTTATCGAACCTTTAATCAATTATTTGAATAAAGTCGCTATACATTATCGTTACACTGCCTACGTCTGAACAGGTAACGTGTATGTACCTGGCTGATCTGGGATGTGTTTCGTCACAAAACTAAAATGGCTATTCAGTCTTATCATGTTTAATGGAAAATATGTATATTTCACAATTCAGATTCTTTATTCAATTACAGTTACTATAGAACACAGATTACGAAAAACGGGTAGCAATGAGTGCTTGGGCGGGTCTATATCAGCACGACCTACCCACGTAAAGGCGTGGGAGACCAAACATGTGTCAGGCCCAAGTTTCACATGGATATGTCGTCACCTCAACAAATGTTTGACAAAAACCGTGATACCTCACACTACTAAGTGAACTTTAAAACAGGTTCAGTTTTAAATCTTTACAACATATATTTTTTTGCACCTGTTTGTGTGTGTGTGTGTGACTGGCCACGTTTATGTTTCAGAATTGTATAATTTGTCAATAACTTACAATCATGATAAAATAATAAGCTATGGTTGAATTTTGTGTTTCAATATGTGAACAATGTTTTGAGCAAAGGTTTTCTTATAAAATATCTACAGAATTAGACCAGAGACATAGATAATATACGTCTTTGATCAGACCATCCGATTTCTGACGTCACTATAGCGTACTGAGTTATGAACCTATATTTGAAAGGAGGAAAACGTCCATTAAAATAGAAGTTCCCAGAAACGACCTGTTCCTTTGTATTTGAAGATACGCATGGACAATCAACTGGAAACTTTTTAATAGTACCGACACGAGATGTAAATAGGTTAACTCAACACCAAGTGATAAACAAGGGCGGGTAAGCTATATCTGTATCAAATAACCATATGAAAACATTTTTTTATAAACACCAAACATATACAGGGCCAAGATCAGGTACGACCCAGCTTTAATAGAAGAGAACAGCACAAAAACTGTAAGTCCTTATCTTATACCACCAGGTCTAGATGTTAATAGGTATATTTTGATCAGTTATAAACGTGCTGGAAAATTAACAAGGAGACTAAACTATCAAACAATACCATACACAATTTACATAACCTTTTAAAGATATTACGTTTTGTTGAAATATAATATATCGTCGTGTGTTAGCGTGTTATGGCGATTATAAGCATATTTAGGACATGCGCAAGTCTATAGTTGTTAAAATACTGTAGTTGACAAGTACGATTCACTGTGCGATTCCTTAAAGTATATAGTTTTATAACAGTCATTTTTGTTTGTTTAAGCATCATAAATCAAAGTGGTAACTATTGATCATTTGACCTTTCTAAGTTCAATGTACTAATATATGTATGGTTGGCAATGCTTTGTATAGCTTCATTCATGCTGATATGGACGAAAATAGGTTACATCCATATTGCATGAGGCCCTCTATATGGCTTCAGATCAAATATTAATGTAACCGAGTTTATCGCATACCTGTTGAATCTTGTTATAGTAATACAAGCAATGTTCAGACTATGAAATACAACGTTCTGTATTGCATATGTGCAATACGGAATGTTTTATTTACCTACTAGCCGGAACTACTTTTTATGGGAATCCCCTTGTCATGGCGAACTGAAAAGTTCCCGGTATTTTCAAAAAATATCAAAGTTTATAAAATCTTTGTATCGATCCCTACCAAATACGGAAGGTATGTGATAAAAGCAAGACCACACATCCACGCACTCGTGAATATATTCGTCCGCGCAATAAACTCGTGATTTCTGATTCGTTAGAAAAACACAAGTGTGTGGTCTTGCATATTTATTGATACCGGCATGAAGGTTCAAAAAACGTTCGTTCAATATTATAAATACATTTTCAATGTATACCGATCTCAACACAAGAATCCCATTTGAAGTGTCTGTAACAACCTAACGTCACATAATTGTTTGCTTCTTGCGGTAGTATCACATTATTTGAGAAAGCGTAAAAGGAATACTGGTCTAATACATATATTGCAGACACTTTTTTTTTTTTTTTTTATCGAAAAGTCAAATGAGGTACTGTACAATGTAAATGAAATCCTTGAACAACTAAGGTGAAATCAACTCTAAATAACCATGTATTCGTACTCGTAAATACGATAATGAAACGATAATCAAGGCTTAGACACAAATATGGCGTCGAGCTGTTTGGTTTTTAGGATGAAAATGACGGTTTTGGTTGATTGCTGAATATAGCGAATCTTTTTAATGCATTCAGATAAAGGTATTTTTCAGTAAGAATATTAAAAAATAAAGTCAATGTTTTTGAAAAGTCACCGTTATAAATTTTGTTCATTTAAGTACGGAGGAGTTTCATTACAGTGTAACATGATATGTTCCTTGTGTAATAACCTTCGTGGTTTTCTTGGTTGCAATGGGATCAAGAAAACAAGAGGCCCTAAGGGATATCTAAGCATTCATGGCAAAATATTCTCCAAATGAGATCCAAGGGAATAGGCCAGACCCTAAGGCCAATCCTTGTAGCATATCTGTATTAGATTTTTCATGCCCAGCAATTTTATGTATGGTTATGGGATGGGAATCTCAACTGTTTCCAAGCTGTGACTCAGAAACTAGGTCCTTAGGATTGTGGCCAGACCCCAGGATCCTTTATAATTTCAGGACTGCATTCCTCTCTTTATGCCCAGCATTTGTATATATAGTTTTCGGGTGGGGATCCCAACCGTTTCAAAGTTATGACCCAGGGGTTAAGTCTGCAAGGGTGGGGCGGACCTAGGGGTCAATTCTAATATCATCACTGCATTCGTCTCTTTTTGGGGTGGGAATCTTAACCCTTTGGAAATTAATGCCCAGGGGTTATCTAACCAAGGGTGGGGCAGACCCCGGAGCCATCTTGGAAGCATATGTGCATTCATCTCTTTATACTCAGCAATTGTATATATGGCTATAGGGTGGGGATCTCAACTGTTTCCAAGCTGTGACTCAGAAACTAGGTCCCTAGGGGTTAGACCCCAGGGTCTATTATAATATTATGACTGCATTCGTCTCTTTATGCCCAGCATGTGTATATAACGTTTTTGGGTGGGGGTCTCAACCGTTTCCAAGTTATGACCCAGGGACGTTGTCTCCAAGGGTTGGGCCAGACCCCAGGGCCATCCTGGAAGCATATGATGTGCATTCTACTCTTCTGACTCAACAATCGTATATATGGTTATACGGTAGGGATATCAACCATTTCCAAGTAATACACTTTTTTGGCCCCATCCCTTAGCCCGTGGGGTCAGCCCCACCATTTGTACAATAAAATATTTGGCTACCAATGTTTATAATTCCTCAAGCATCTCTGAGGTACTTTTAGTCCACCATTTGTTCGTCATATTGTCCTACCATCAGGGGTAAATGTGCCGATCCAATGCTTCGTATTGGTTGTTTCACCAGCTGGTTTTCCAAAGAGTTTGAATTATTCCTAAAAGCATGGACAACTTTCATGGTTATTTCCATAGCAACTGTACAACAGACAAGAGTTATTCCCTCTTGCAAACAATGTAATGCATTTTTCTCTAACGCAAAATGTTCCGACATGTACATTTTGTTGAAAATGGGTATCCACGAACATTGGAACCCACGAACAGTGGTACCCCACGAACAGTGGTACCCACGAACATTGGAACCCACGAACAGTGGTACCCACGAAGCAATATAATAGCCTCAAACCACGAAAGAAATTACCCACGAACATTTCATGCTAAACAGTAGTACAAGAAGGAAGTCCCTACCCACCTCAACTGATGATTGTATCTACGTATTGCCACAGGGACCTGAGAATATGTTTCAGCTATATTTTGACATTACTTAAGGTGTTCAGAATAATTTTGCCACCCTAATGCTTATTATATATACGAGGAAGGCGGAAAGCCCTCGAAGTCGAAAATTCGAACCCACCTAACTTTCTTGCATCAAAAAACTCATTTGAAACAAGACTTAAAAACTCCGATATGCACGTAAAATGTATTGTCCTTCCGCGGACATGATCTCCGTTTCCTCCAAAAAACACACGCCATTTCCGAGTTTCAAAGTTTTTCGCAGTCATTGAGCCACTTTTTGTATATTCATGAGGTTGACGTCAGCCTCGCGCCGATTTTAGGAAAAAAATGGCTGCGCTTTCAGGCAATCACACCAGGGGTCTCTCGGCACGTATTGGTCCCTATGCTATTATTATGCTAGGCGTGTGTTGAGACGGGGTATTTGGTTTGAGAGAAAGTCAATTACTAGTTAGATAATGTTGTATATCGCCCTTCAGCACATGTATTCGAAATTTCATGAATTATTTACGTAAATACAAAAACTTATTTTCCAGTCTCCTAAACTGCAGTCAATAGAAATTCAAAATCGTTTGGCGTTAAATACCGAATTTAAATTAAAGAAATACGATCGAAAGCTATACATAAGTACTTTAGTGCCGAAATACATGGCAATTTGAAGTTTAATGAG